AGGTTTTTCTTTTTCTTTATTTAGGACCCTGCAGCCCCCCCCCCTCTCTCTCTCCATGTACATTTGCACACAAATATTTTTGTATTCATGTACTTTGTGGTACGTGTTGCCGCTATTGCTTGTCAGTTCTGTTATCACTGTGAATGCTAATATCTTTCGTCTCTGGCTTGCAGGGACTAGTCTTCTCCAATTCAAATGGTACACATATTTGTTGGGCAACTTGTTGCCTACTTGGACTGGAGTGTCCAGATTGTATACTTGAAATGCTATTGTGAGATGGGTTTCTCTGGTTGAAGTTAAATGCCTCTTCTTGCTCATTGATCTGAAGTATTGAGAATCCTCAAATCTTATGAAGCCGGGTGGACTTAGCTGCTCTCCCAAATCTATCTTGCTTGTGAGGCTGGAAATTGGCATCCATCTGTATTATTATAATTTTCTTAAAATTTTGTTTTTTCCACCTTTTTTGTTGTAAGGAGCTTTTGGCGGTAAAATGTTTACGGTAAGAAGTCTTTTTGAGTAGGACTCACTTTTCCTAATTTTTCTGAGCTGCTAGAATCAAATCATAACAGATTGAAATGGCTGATAAGTGACATGGTATTTTATAACCATTATGGCTGCACATTTTGTTCTTATTAATAAATTTCCTTCAGGTCATTTCAGTCTTAGAATGCATTGTGATAATGGAGTAGACGTGGCTAATCAATCGGAACTGCAGGGTTCCCATCCAAATTAATTAGTTTTATTGGGAAGCTGATATCCAAACTTCAAAAAAATTTATTGGAAAGCGGATAGCCAAACTTCAAAAAAGACTTAAAACTCAACAAAAACTTGATTACCAAGCTGCGAAGTGGCCTTTTACGAATTCCTTTTTTATTTTTATTTGTATTTGTTCAATATGTTTGAATCTTGAATTTGTGGAGGGAAAGGAAAAGAGAAGGAAAAAAAATGAAGTGAAAGGTGCTAAATTCTTTTCTTTTGTATGGTTGGGTTAGAAAAATGAAAAGAAAATGAATAGGTTTTTCTTTTTCTTTATTTTTTATTTTTTATTTTAGGTTGTTAATAAGTTTACGATTATACTACTACCAATATTTAAACTTTACACTATCTTTTTTCTAATGAGATTATGTTTCCTTCTCTTCTGTAGTAGCCGCCATCGTCTGCCACCATCACCGAACCGTCTTTTGTCTTCCCCACCTACAAGGACCAACCGCCATCCCCTCTCTCCCTTTCCTTTCTCTGGTAAGAAATCTAATCCTTCACTCAACATGACTAATTCTTATACCATAGTTTGTTAATGTGTTTATATACCACGTGGTTATGTTACATACTTATGTCACTTTGTGTTTTTGTTTAAGTAAAATTGCTTCAAATCCCTTATGTGGTGTGGTTCCATTTTTCAAGCACTAAATTACTTTGCAAAATAATGTGCTGAAGTAGGTATATCAAATGTGAAAAATGACGTCTTGATTGTTGAAGTATTCACAACGCAGCCGCCAGAATCAAATCATAACAGATTGAAATTGCTGATAAGTGACATGGTATTTTATAACCATTAAGGCTGCACATTTTGTTCTTATTAATAAATTTCCTTCAGGTCATTTCAGTCTTAGAATGCATTGTGATAATGGAGTAGACGTGGCTAATCAATCGGAACTTGCGGGGTTGCCATCCAAATTAATTAGTTTTATTGGGAAGCTGATATCCAAACTTCAAAAAAAATTATTGGAAAGCGGATAGCCAAACTTCAAATAAGACTTAAAACTCAACAAAAACTTGATTACCAAGCTGCGAAGTGGCCTTTTACGAATTCCTTTTTTATTTTTATTTGTATTTTTTCAATATGTTTGAATCTTGAATTTGTGGAGGGAACGGAACATTGAAGGAAAAAAAATGAAGTGGAAGGTGCTAAATTTTTTTCTTTTGTATGGTTGGGTTAGAAAAATGAAAAGAAAATGAATAGGTTTTTCTTTTTCATTATTTTTTATTTTTTATTTTAGGTTGTTAATAAGTTTACGATTATACTACTACCAATATTTAAACTTTACACTATCTATTTTCTAATGAGATTATGTTTCCTTCTCTCCCGTAAACACCATCAACCGACACCATCACCAAATCCTCTCTGGTCAAAGCTTTTAAATGTTTATTTTGCTTGGAATATATTTTGAATTATTTAAAAGGTAGGTAGTAATGCAAGTGTAGAAAAAAAAAACCACATCAGAGTGGTAAATTTAAAAATTTGTAATTATTTTTCCAAAATACTATTGAGTTGTAATTTTTCGTAAAGAAAATTTAGTGGAACTGGGGTAAGTATTTGGATTTTTCTTTTTTTTTTTTTGTTTCATTTGTACTAGAGGTTTTTCAAAAAAAAATTTAAAAAACTTTGCATTTTAGCATCTACTCGATTGTATAGACCAAATAAGTTATAAAATTAAAATGGAAAATAATTGACTAAAAAATAAATGAAAATAAGTTGGTGATGTTTTTAGATCATTCTACACTAGATACACAAAAAATGTAAGAATATAGAGGCAAATTAAAAAAAAATAATTACATTTCAAAAAAAAAAAAACAAAAGATAGAGTTTTTAGTTGGTTTGCCAAAAGCCACCAAATTTTATTGATTGAAATAGAAAAAACCATTATTTTTATGTTGAACATCATCACCAAGGATAGATCCAAAGAGTGGGATAGTATATTTAGATTTTCAAATTTCGGGGATCCATCCTTGATCATAACGATATTAATTTATTTATTTTATACTTGAAAAAAATCCATCCTTGGTCATCACAATATTAATTTTTTAATGTATACATGTTAAAAAAAAAAACCTTGGGCTAGCCAGAATGAACACGTTCACTGGTCTACCCAGAGTTCAAGCGTCGAACCCACCTTTCAACTTTACCATCATCCAACCACCTTGGTGCACTCGCTTAAGTCACCAGCTAACGCTACGCAGCTCGGCAATTATTAGATGTCTCAATCACACCTTATATTCAAACATTATGGGTTGTTTTTAAATAATGTGCGAGGGGTTCACGATTTTGCTACTACGAATGTTGAAATTTTACACTATCTCTTTTCTAATGAGATTATGAACGATGTGGGATTGAGTTATGATTCTACTACAACCAGTGTTTAAACTCTACATTATCTCTTTTCTAATTAGAAAATTTAGTGGAACTGGGGTTCATTTTTAATGAACTTTTTTCAAAAAATTTCAAAAAACTTTGCGTTTTAGAGTCTACTCAACTACATGGACCAAATAAGTTATAAAAAAATGAAAATCAATTCATTAAAAATAAAAGTGAAAATAAGTTGGTGATGTTTTAGATCATTCTACACTCGATGCACAAAAAATATAAAATCTTTGACACAAATTTAAAAAATATAATATTCAAAAGAAAAAGAAAAAGAGTTTTTTTGGTTAGTTGCCAAACCCACCAAATGTTATTGATTGAAATAGAAAAAATCATCATTTTTATGTTTTGTAATCATCACCAAGGACTGATCCACAGGGTGCGAAAGTATATATTTAGATTTTCAAATTTTCAAGATCCGTCCATGATCATAACAACACTAATTTATTTATTTTATACATGAAAAATAAAAGCCCGTCCTTGATAATCACAATATTATTTTTTTTTTAATTTTCTATTACAAAAAGAAATGAAAAAAGAAGTGGTTGTCCAATGACTTAAACTAAAGCTATAGCCAGAGAACCTACAGGTTCACTGTCTAGCCTAAGTTCAACTAGGCCGGGCACAACTCACAGGTTCACTGGTCTAGCTTGAGTTCAACTAAGCTGGCCACAACCTGCAGGGTTCAACTAAGAACCTAGAGGTTTACTCGGTCTAGCCTGAGTTCAACCAAGCTAGCTAGAACCTAGTGGTTTAATCGTTTTAGCCTAAGTTCAACTAGGCTAGCTAGAACCTACAGGTTCACTGGTCTAGCCTGAGTTCAAGCGTTGAAGCCAACTATCAACTTTACCATCATCCAACCACTTTGGTGCCCTCGCTTGAGTTGTAAGCTAACGCTACTTAGCTTGGCAATTATTAGATGTCTCAATCACCCCTTATATTCAAACATTAATTATCTATCCTGTTTCCCTAAGGATATTCTGTATCTGATCACTGTTTATGTTATCAGGTTATATGTCTGCACCAGTGATGCCACCAATGGTGGGGCCACCTGCTGCTGCTGCTGCTTTGCCTGGTCAAATTACCAACCTCCCAAGGCCTCCACCAATGGGTGCTCCATCAGCAGTTCCAGGGACCACTATGACTCCTGCTAGTGTTTCCACCTCAATGGTTACCCCAGCTATGTATCAGGCGGCTAATTCAGCGCCACCTACAAGTGGAGGTTTTGATAGTTTCAACATGAGTGCTCAAGCTCCAGAGGCTGATCATTAGTATGGTACTAGGTTTTTGTTTTTAAATCTTGTAGAATTTTTTTTTTGATCGGCAAAAAAACTTTATTGATGGAAAGGAAAATTTACATCAATAAAGAGGAGCTTGGAGCTATAACAAGCTCCAACCTCCTAGTTGGTGAGAAACCAACGCGCAAAGAAAAGTACAAAAGCAGGAGAAAAAAATAGACAGATCAGACAGCCCTTCCAAGAGTGGAGAGCAGCTGCCACTCCGAGAGGTGGATGACTGCTGGAAGTTATGCACCAGATCAGAGAAGCAACTAGCAGAATGCCTCCACAACCCCATCACAGCAAGCACTCCAAAGCAGAGGTCCCAGTTTAAACACTGCAAACCACCACCCAGGGCATTTCCAAGACACCATGCAAAGCAGACCAGTACTCAAACAGAACAGCACCAACAGAAATGCACCCAAGCACTCAAGCAACCCAGCACACCAGCACTCAAACAGACCTTTCTCGATGCATTTGCAAAAAAAAATTTGCATCTAAACCCGCAAATTTGTTGGTATTTAATTTCATCACTACCTGCGTGCTTATAATTTATTTTCACTGTAGACTAGGCTGGCATGTAAGGGTATTGCCGTGTTCATGGTGTGGATTTACGCTTCAGGTGAATATTTATGTCAGGGATCGGACCATTTGTTGAGGTCCAACCATGAACATATTTATATACGTATCTGTGTACTTATTCCTTGACACCTATATAAATTTCTTGCTAATACTTTGGTGTGTGCAGGGTCTTTTTGTCTATGCATTTTCCTCAGATTTTTGTGATACTTAATTGTACTACCCGTGGTATGCTTATAGTTCAGTCATTGTCATTGGTTACAACACTCGCATGCTGGGAGCCTAGCAATGTAATATGGTTTGGACTGTTGATCAACATTAGTGAAACATTATGTTTAGGACTAGCCATATAGTTTTGTTTGGGTTTCATGAAATTCCTAGTTAGAATTACAAGTCATTTTATGCAGTAGCAGAAAACTAAACTGTCTTTCTTGCATAGATTCTAATTACTGTTATCATTCAGTGGTTTTGTACCAAGGGTATTTATTTAGATGAAAATGCACACAATCTTCTTAAGTTCGCTTTGGATAAGTGGATTTCAAATAAAGGAATTTTAGTTGAATTTTATAAAATTATAAGAAGATTGGCTATTGAAGGTAGATTGATAACTCTGAAGTGGATGATTGAATAAAGGTATGGGACATGTATTTTATTAAGATTCTTGTACAGGTAGAATTTTTTATGAAAGGATTTTAAATAATTATTTTCAGCAAATTATTTGAAATTCATCAATATAAAGCCTTTTAAATCCATTCTTAATGTCTAAATATAAAACATTACACTGAATTGAAGACTATACTCCTCAAATTATTGATGCCTAATCTTTTCCTTTCAAATCTATAAATTCAAAGGCAACCTTAATAGATACATTGGATTGCCTTCCCTCAATAGTGAGAAACGTGCTGTGTATAATTTTGACAACTGTAGTTTTCCACACCCCCCTCCCCACTTTGTGATGGCATTCCTAGGTGAACTTCTGGGGCTCTCCATTTAATGGGGCTGTTTGGTGCACAACTTCTACTTAGTTGAAAGTTGATAATAAGAAAATAGAAGCTAAAAACCTCTTCCCTGTGTCCTGGTAATCAATTTTTTTAGCTTATTTGAGCTACTTCTACCTTAAAAGCTATAAACAAAAGCTGTACCAAACACCATGGCTCATATTTCCAAAATAGAAAAAGCTATAAGCAGCTCCATGAGTTGTGGTAACGAGAATAATCTTCTCCTTCGAGAAGAATCAAAAAGAAAAATGGGAAGTGTTCAATTGGAACATGAAAACGTGACTAAATTGGTCCTAGTTGCTCTTTGGGACAAAGTGGAAGAAAGGAGGAGATTCTCAAATGTGGAAAAGGATCCAATGACTTAGAAAGAATTGAACGAGGAGCCAATGAGGTGAAAATCTCATTCACTGTTCTGTAGAGTGGCACCAAACGGCCCCAATGTATTATCTATCCTGTTTCCCTAAGGATATTCTGTATCTGATCACTGTTTATGTTATCAGGTTATATGTCTGCACTAGTGATGCCACCAATGGTGGGGCCACCTGTTGCTGCTGCTGCTTTGCCTGGTCAAATTACCAACCTCCCAAGGCCTCCACCAATGGGTGCTCCATCAGCAGTTCCAGGGACCACTATGACTCCTGCTAGTGTTTCCACCTCAATGGTTACCCCGGCTATGTATCAGGCGGCTAATTCAGCGACACCTACAAGTGGAGGTTTTGATAGTTTCAACATGAGTGCTCAAGCTCCAGAGGCTGATCATTAGTATGGTACTAGGTTTTTGTTTTTAAATCTTGTAGAATTGACTGTGTAATTGCAGCAGTACATTGTTTATGGGACATGGCAAATTGTGTAAGGAAATCTGGCCATCTCAAAATAGTAAGAAATCACTGCATTTTTTCTAAAAGCATTTTAGGCCATTAATTACAACCATTTATCTCTAAAAAAATTATCTTGTTTCATTTCCTGCGCTAGTGACAACATGCATTTGGTATGCATTTCATTGCTGGATCTGTTTGGATTGTTTGTGTCTTAAGGTTCTGGGGTAATGTATGCTGATTTGTTTCTCAAATGGGTAGCACATTGACTCTACTCCTTTAGGGGATCATGATCATCAGGCTGCTTCAACTTTTTCCTCTCCACTGTCTTTTCCTTTTTCTCAGATGAAAAAATATCATCAATAGATATCCAAGTCAACAGAACTCTGGTTGTGTTTTAGAGATTGATTCCCTTTTGAGCGGGAAGTTGGCTTTACAGTTGCCGAAGTTACAGAGCTTGTGAGGAAAAAAAGAAAAAGAAAAAGAAAAAGAAAAAGAAAATCTTTTGGGTATGTAGTTAAGAGGTACTTGTTGGAGAATGTCAACAGAACTCAAATATTTAAAAACCTCAGAGATTTTGCCTAACCCTCCAAGAAGGATTCGGTTATTCCTGCCCACAATCATTGAGGTATTGGAAATAATTTTGGAACTTCAATTAGGCATTTGAGTAGTAGGTAAACACCTCAATTAAATGCAGCAAATCTAGATGCAACTTCATAGACTACAATAGCTGAGGACATACCCAAAAAGTTTATTTATTAAATATTATTGAGAGAGAGAGAGAAAGATGTAAGTATATTGTGTGTCCGACATAATATATCTCCACGTGTCATGCATATATGTGCAATAGCAGCCATGTGCTTTCATTTCTTTCCACCACAATAAAGTGGCCCTTCTTTCTTTATACTAGACTATACACCACACTAAAAATCCTGCCAATCAACTTGAGTTGAGTGAAGCTCAAAACCAATATATATATATATATATATAAAAGGAGTAGAGAGAGTGGCTAAACCCAAAAACCTTGAACTGAAGAGCCTGTCAGATTTACATACAACTTATGATTTGGTTAAACATTGGCACTTGCATTATTCCTGAAGCTGCGTAAACCAGGTGGTGATGGCTTTGGAAAGAACTCTAGTGTCATTCATTGAAAGAGTCTTTAGACCCTGAGCAATAGCATCTGCCGGAGTGTACAAATATCCTACTTGCCATCTAGGTTCCTGATCATGCAGGGGCAAAAAAAGAAAAACAAAAACAAAGGGACATTAAAATTTCATAGAGATGGAACATGGATGGCCATGATCAACTCAAATGGAATGAATATGTATAGGGAAAAAATGTTATGTTAGTGCTGGAGTGTACAAGTAACCTGCTAGCCATCTTGATCTCTGAATCTCTGATCATGGGACGGAAAGCAAAAAGAAAAAAACTTATGAAGGCAGAAAAAAAAAAATTATCTAGTTGGGAAATATAGCCATTTATATAATCTAAAAAGAAAAAAATACAAAAATAAATAAATAAAATCATATTCTGCATTCTGTTTTGTACTTGACATTCTTAAGCAGATCTTGACCATTATCCATAATTACATAGATTGCCATATGCAAACCCTTGATTTTGGGGGATGACATGTTGAAGACCAGTTCAACAGCTCCTATGACATCACCAATTACCAAAACAAACAAAATTCCAGGATTTCTATGTAGAAAATGCAAGTCATAATCCATCACATATGACAAAACCTTTTGTTTGTGTGTCACTGTGACACCCTAATGAACGCCACGTGCTACAACTATATTATTATCTATCCTTGAATACCCCAAGTCAAATTAACCATCTCATTACACAAAATACTTAAGGTAAAGCTTAGAAATGAATAGTTAGGAAGCCTTGAACATGACAATCTCACTTTCAACTGTTAAAGACTTAGGAACTAATCATCTCTTGAACATAGTATGCAAGTGCGTATCACATCAAAAGTGGTTTACATGACATGACCGAATACGTACCTTAATTTGATAACCTTAAAATACTCTAGAGATAGAAATATGAATTGATAAGATAAAACCTTAGAAGATGAGTTCAATTGGCAAGAAACTTAGAAGTGAAAGACATGCCTTGATAAAACAAACTTAAGAAGAGAAATACTTGAAGATTACTAAGAGTTAGGGGACACCTTAAATTTAAAATTTATGAATGCTAGGATGTGCCTATGCACTAATTGAGGAGCTTAAAGGCCATAAACTAATGTGCTTGTCATTTTGATGCTAAATGTCATTTTGCTAATCAAGATTACTGTTAATTATGTAAGATTAGTGAGCCTTAATCAAGATTAATTAAGTTAAGCAAGATTAAGTTTAAACTTGATTAATTATAACTGAAGATTGATTAATTAAACTAATGATGGAGATTAACGATGGAGATTATGGAAAAAGAAAGGGTAAACTACCAATAGGTCCTAATAGTTGAACTTAATTTCCATCAAGTCTTATTGAAAATAAACCCTAATAAAATCGTTACTACAAATATTTTTTGTGACGATTTTTGCATGTTGCTAAAAATTGACAATTAATAACGATTTTTTATGACGATTTTTTTGTCATGGTTGTTATAAATTGTCACTGAAACTTACAATTACTGACTTTTTTTGTGACAAATTCGTCAAACTATCAGTGAAAGTTGAAAATTAGTGACATTTGTTTGTGACGATTTTTTTAAACTATTGTTAAAACTTCTAATTAGTGACATTTTTTGTGACAAAATTTTCAAACTGCCACTTAAAATTAACAATTAGTGATGTTTAATAGTGTTTGATGAAAAATACCATTAATTATTTTAAGAACTATTGGACAATAAGTCCACTTATTAAGACTTATAAGTAAGTCCCCCTCAAAGAAACTGGTGAAGCAAACACACACCTCTCTTTTTGACCCACCTAGCCTTTTGTCCTTGCCACTCTTTTGTCCTACCTTGCCTTACATAAAACCAAAACAAGAAAGAAAAATCTGTAGAATCAAGAATGAGCTAGAAGAAAGGAGAAAGAAGAAGGAAGAAGAAAGAAAGGAGAAAGAAAAGAGCTCGAAGAATTCATCTAGGATTCCATCTTTGATCATCCTAAGGTAAGTTTTGAGCCCTAATTCTTGTAGTAATCTTACCTACCATCTAAGATTGAGAAGTTAGGATTAATTTGGGTTAGTAATGAAGTTATTAGGAGAAGAACAGAAAACAGATGAGAAAGTTGGAGAATAGGCTAGGTGGCCATAATTCATGCCATTTTGATCTTTATTTTGATGTTTTTATTGCATAAAAAGCTAAACCCTCATGTTTCCTCATGATTTACAATAGTTTTGACAATGTTAAATTCTTGTTTTGGAACAAACAAGAAAATAGGTTTTAAAGATTTGTTGTGAAAATCATGTTTTGATTCGGTTTGAATCTGGCATTCTTGCATACAAATGTTTTTCCATGGATTTCCTATCATTAATTTATGTTTTGAGACTTGAGCTATCATGATTTGAAGCTTTGGGTGGAAGAAATGGATGAAAAACACCAAGAACACACACTAACTCATTTTGCCTGCTTGAAACTGCTCGTGCAACCAGAAATTCCGCACAAGCGGATGGAAATTACACTGTTGATGGTAGTCACTGCCTAAATCCGCATGAGCAGATTTTCCAGGCTTAACCGCCATAGCGGATTTGCCAGCACATTCACTCGATTTCATTTTCGCTCGTTTTTATGCACTAGACCTCATTATACTCTTTTGAGACCTAAAATAGGATTGAATAAGGCTTAGAAACCGACTTAAAGGAAGAGTAGTTAAGAAAGAAAATCAAAGTTAAGTTGACACATTCATTTCGCATTTCGCTTTATCGATGTTTGTATGCTTGTTTGTGTAGGTCAAGCATTTTGGAGGAAAAACGCTCATTTGAGAGCCATTTGTGATTAGTAGTGTTGTAAAGTTATGTTTAATAAGCTATGTTCCAAATGCAAAACCTATGTTATGTCTATGAAATCTATGCTAATGTTTTATCATGAATGAACATCATATCTTCTTGTATCATGTATTAAGATGACACCCTTGGAACATGTCCTAGTTATTGGGGGACTCATGCCAATAACACCTTGATGCTCAAGAATCCTTGGAATGTTCATCAATATATTGTTAGCATATTATATTATTATCTGAGCTTTTTTGGTTTGTAATTATTCTATGCCCTCAGGGCTCGACTTGTAATTGTCTCATCTTGTAAACCCTAATCTTCATTTATAAATAGGGGATGATATTCTATCAAACCCTAAGCTGGTTACTCAAGCTTCATGGTATCAGAGCAGAACCTCTAGGGTTTCGGCTCACCCTCGTTGGTAGACCTCTACACCAACGACACTCTAGGGTTCAAAGCTTACCTGGGTGGATCATCTGCTGCATCGATCTTCAGCTCGTCAATCTTTGCTTCGTCTTCATCACTCAGTCGCCTTCCTCTGTCGATCGTTACTTAGCCGTCTCTCAGTCGATCGTCACTCAGCCGCCTTCCTCAGCCGATCTCCTCCATCTTCGTTCGTCAGCTCGTCAGTCGATCTCGTCAGCCGCCTTCCTCAGCTCGTCTTCCTCACATCGTCGATCTCCTTCATCTTCGTTCGTCTGGTATACAACATACCTCATCTCTGTTTGGTATATATGTCGTGTATACACATGTATAAATAAATAACCTATATACCTGTATCCGTACCAATACTTATATAAATAAATAAATAATTACTTTAAAAAAAAAAAAAGGGAAGAAAACTTTATGGTTTCTTAATTTTGTTATGCCTTTATAGTGGTCATTGTGCCTATTCTTTTACCACCACCTTCCGGGTTTGAGATTGCCACTAGTTTTGTTGCGGGTTCGGTAGTATCGTATCCATGGCAGATTCCACCATTGTGTCCCCTACTTCTCAAACACCGAGGAGTGAGAGTCTCATTATACCTACTACCATGACTGAGAACCCCAACCCTAGTTTGAAAATCACCACCTCTCTATTTAATGGTCAGAACTACCTAGCATGGTCTCAAAGTTTGACTATATTTTTTAAGAGCCGAGGGAAGATGGGGTATGTTGATAGCAGGATACAGGCACCTAGTACCACTAACTCGGGTTATGACCAATGGGAGATTACCAACTCTTTGATTATGGGTTGGCTTATTCATTCGATGGTTCCTGAAATTGGTGAGGGCTACTAGTCTATGGAGACTGCCCAGGATGTTTGGAATGCTGTGGCTGCCACCTATTCCCGCAAAGGGAATTTCTCACAGGCATTTGAGTTGTGCCGCTCTATTGAGAGCTCACTTCAAGGGGAGCAGACTATTCTTCAGTATTTCACTTTCCTCACCAACGGCTGGAAACGCCTTGACCACCTGGAAGACTATAAGCCCGTTTGCCCTGCTGATTCTGTCGGGTACAAGAAGTTCATCGCATGGGAACAGGTCTTTAAATTTCTGGCAGGCCTAAATGTGGAGTATGATCCAATTAGGGGTCGAGTTCTAGGTATGGACACTCTTCCTTCACTTTAGGAGGCATTTGCCTATGTACAGAATGAGGAGAGTCACCGGTCTGCTATGATGTCCCCTGTCTCTACTGACCGCTCAGCATTACTGTCTACTCCTCGAGATGGCCTCAGCTTGACTCCTATCCCTCCGTCTGCTGCTAAGGAGTCAGTATTCTTTGATTATTGCAAGAAGCCGCGGCATGCTCGTGAGACGTGTTGGAAGCTCATGGGACTCCATCCGGGGGTCGAGGTGATCGGTCTGGTTCTCGAGGAGGTCGGTCAGGCCAGTCTAGAGGACGTGGTTCCTACTCCCGGGCTCATCAGTCTAGTGCCGTTGATACACTTGATTCTAATTATGCTTCTGTTGGCCAAGCTTCTGATACTGAGCTGGAGGATGCTTTGCGCCAATTGTTGGACCGCGGTCTTCTACTGCTCTCAGTACAGCTTCCTCGTCCTTTGCCCGCTCAGGTAACTTAGCCTCTTCTCCTTGTGTTTTCCTGTGTCATAAGTCTTTGCCTTGCATTATTGATTCCGGTGCCTCCGATCATATGTCTGGCTCCTCTGATCTTTTCTCTGTCTATAAGCCCTCTTCAGGTCAGGACAAAATTAGGATTGCAGATGGTATTGTTTCTTCCATTTCTGAAAAAGGTTTAGTCCAAGTCAATCCTACCATACATTTATCTTCTGTTCTCCATGTTCCCAATTTTTCTGTTAATCTGTTATCCTTGAGTCGTCTTACCCCGGATTTGAATTGTAGTGTGACGTTTTTCCCTGATCATTGTCTTTTTCAGGACCTTGTCACGAGGAGGACGATTGGCAGTGGTAGTGCAAAAAATGGTCTCTACTTCCTGGATCAACCGGACAAACTTGCTTATTCTTCCACCACGTCTTCTACTACCCCCGCTGATTTATGGCTATGGCATCGGCATCTTGGGCATCCTTCCTTTTATTTACTTAAGCATTTATTTCCATTTGGTTTCGCAAATCATTATGTATCTGACTTTCTTTGTGAGTCTTGTCATCTTGGAAAACAACACAGAGCTTCTTTTGCTCCTAGTTTGAATAAAAGTTTAGTTCCTTTTTCATTAATACATTCTGATGTTTGGGGTCCCTCTCATGTTATGTCTGTGAAAGGTCATCGATGGTTTGTTACATTTATTGATGATTTTTCTCGTGCTACTTGGGTGTATCTCATGAAAGATAAGAGTGAGGTTTTCTCTGTGTTTCGCAATTTTCATAAGATGATTTGTACTCAGTTTGGGGCCACTGTCAAACTATTTCGTTCTGATAATGGCGGGGAATACATAAATTCGCGGTTAGGACAATATTTCTCTTCTTATGGCATTATCCATCAGACCTCTTGCACCAATACCCCTCAACAAAATAGGATAGCGGAACGCAAGAATCGGCATCTTCTTGACATGGCTCGGTGCATGTGATTTTCTATGAGTGTGCCTCGGCCCTATTGGGGCGACGCTGTTCTCACCGCTGCCCATCTTATTAATCATCTCCCTACCCAGGTCTAGCAAAAACAAGCTCATCTTCACGTCCTCCTAGGTTCTCAGTCCTTTTTTTCTATTCCTCCCAAAATTTTTGGTTGTGTCTGTTTTGTTCATAATCACTCTCCTCGTGGTAAGTTGGACCCTCGCTCCCTCAAGTGTGTTTTCCATAGTTACTCTCCTACTCAAAAGGGGTATAAATGTTACCATCCTTCTTCTCGTAAGTGGTTTGTGTCCATGGATGTTACTTTCTTTGAGTCCCAATCCTATTTCTTGTCCTCTCCGGTGTCACCGTCCTCATTTCCGGGGGAGTCTTGGTGTGAAGTAAGTCCTGTGCTTCCTATGGTGGACCCAGTTGTTTTTGCACCACCCTCTTCTAGTGTGCTTCCTATGGTGGAACCAGTTGTTCTTGCACCACCCTCTTCTACTGGGACTATAGAACCCAATGTCACCAAGGATAAGGACGGGCATGTTTATGTCCGGGACATAGACAGACAACAAGTTAACTGGATACAAGGGACCACTTCTGTTCCTTCACTGTCATCTCCTGCTTCTGATGAGAGTCTAGGTAACTTTGAATCTCTTGAGTCCATTGATCTTGATGTTCCTATTGCCAAGAGGAAGGGTGTGAGATCTTGTACTCAACATCCTATCTCACATTTTGTGTCCTACTCTCATTTATCATCCTCATATAGAGCGTTTGTGTCCAATATTTCCTCTGTTAGCATTCCTAACCATTTTCAGGATACTCTTGCTACCTCTGAGTGGAAACTAGCCATGATTGAGGAAATGAAAGCACTTAGGAAGAATGGCACTTGGGAATTGACTGAGTTACCTACGGGCAAACGACCTGTGGGATGTAAATGGGTATATACTGTGAAACACAAAGCAGTTGGGTCTATTGAGCGTTACAAGGCAAGACTTGTGGCAAAAGGGTTTACTCAGACATATGGCATTGATTATCAAGAGACCTTCGCACCCGTGGCTAAGATGAATTCAGTCAGAGTACTTCTCTCTCTAGCAGCTAATCTAGATTGGCCGCTTTATCAGTTTGATGTCAAGAATGCCTTTCTCCATGGTGACCTCGAAGAAGAGGTATATATGGACATTTCTCCTGGTTTTGAGGATCATCAAACAGAAGGCAAAGTATGCAAGCTTCGGAAGTCATTATATAGTCTCAAACAGTCTCCAAGGGATTGGTTTGAGAGATTCACTCAGGCTATGTTTAAATATGGCTTCAAACAGAGTCAGGCAAATCACACCTTGTTTGTGAAACATTCCTCACGTGATAAGACTACAGCACTTATTGTTTATGTAGATGACATAGTTCTTACAGGTAATGATAGTGGGAAAATACCTCTGTTGAAGAAATATTTAGCTAATGAGTTTGAAATCAAAGACTTGGGAAGCTTGAAGTATTTTCTGGGAATTGAAGTTGCTCGCTCTAAGGATGGGATATTTATCTCACAGAGAAAATATGTGTTTGACCTATTGAAGGAAACTGGGATGCTTGGCTGCAAGGCATGTGCCACTCCACTGGAACCCAATCAGAAATTGGGGGATGATGAAGGAGGAGAAGCAGTTGATAGGGGGAGCTATCAGCGATTAGTGGGTAAGCTCATTTACCTATCTCACTCCCGTCTTGATATTGCTGTTGCTGTCAGTGTGGTTAGTCAGTTTATGCATGCTCCTCATCAGATTCACTTTGAAGTTCTCATGAGAATCTTGAGGTACTTGAAGTCTGCTCCTGGTAAGGGTCTTTATTTTTCAAAGTATGATCATCTTCGTGTGGAAGCCTATACAAATGCTAACTGGGCTGGATCAGTAACTGATAGGAGATCGACTTCAGGGTATTGCACCTTGGTTGGAGGCAACCTAATTACTTGGAGGAGTAAGAAACAGAATGTGGTCGCCAGGTCAAGTGCAGAAGCTGAGTTTAGAGCTATGGCACAAGGTGTGTGTAAACTTCTATGGATCAAGTTATTGTTGAGTGATCTAGGTATTGATCAGACAGACTCCATGCGGTTATACTGTGATAATAAGGCCGCCATCAACATCGCTCACAATCCAGTTCAACATGACAGGACAAAACATGTTGAGATTGATCGCCACTTCATTAAGGAGAAACTCACTAGTGGTACCATTTGTACTCCTTTTGTCCAATCTGGTGAACAACTTGCTGACATTCTCACCAAGGGGGTTGGGAATAAACCATTTCATGACATATTAGGCAAGCTGGGCATGAGAGATATCTTCGCACCAACTTGAGGGAGAGTGTTTGCATATTATATTATTATCTGAGCTTTTTTGGTTTGTAATTATTCTATGCCCTCAAGGCTCGACTTGTAATTGTCTCATCTTGTAAACCCTAATCTTCATTTATAAATAGGGGATGATATACTATCAAACCCTAAGCTGGTTACTCAAGCTTCATATATATCATGCTTGAAATTCAAGTCTTGAAGTATTATGCTCATGGTAAGCTACAACCTTCTAAAAACAAATGCTCATGTTATGCTCAAGGTATGATTCTCGTATTATGATTTATAAAGCTTGCCGATGTTCACTCATTTACCGCTTTACTATATTACTACACTGGGCAATAGCTCACCCCTCTCGCTTATATATATATGTAGGTGACGAAGAGCTTGGTTACAAAGAGAAGTTTGATGTACTGGTTTTGTAAAGCTTTGTAGTGTTGTATCTTACTTTGTTGTTTAGAACATGAAATAATATAAGATAACAATCGAAGAGCAATGTATGCTTTCATCTCATATAGTTATGCACTGCTCTGAATAAATGTTTCAAATGAACTCAATATAAGCAAATAATGGCTTCCACACTCCAAAAAAAAAAAAAAAATGGAAAGTTTGCCCTAATTATCCTAAAAGTCCAACTTGTTTTGAGAAATTAGGTCTTTAGTAGTCCGCAACTACTGGCCGATCACTACACTATCATGTTTGGGGCAAGATGGGGTCGTGATAGTCACTATATGAAGGTGACACGCCATGGACACATTAGGATATGTATCGGATACATCACACGGTGCATCCAATTTTTTACTTGTTTTTTTTTTTGCCCAAACATGTTGGGGACGCATCATGGTTACTCGAATCTTGTCTCTCGACACACCCCAAGTGATGAACTCCAAATGCAAAATCAAGATAAAATCGAGAGAGAAGACAAATGCCCAAATTAGAGGTAAAACCCCTAAGGGCTAGAGAGAGAAACTAAGCTCTACTCCAATTTCAATGTTTATTCTTTTATTCCGAAAACTCAATACAATGGACAATTACATCACCTATTTATAGACTACAACTAATAAGCTATTTAATTGACACTTTAGCCTATTTATTCTACCATATCAGACTCTTCCTCTTTAAGAAACTTGTCCTCAAGTTTAAGCAGCAACTAAGTGTGCTCAACGTAACACCATGCATTGAATCCCTAGGCGAGGAATATGCGTTGCATCTCCATGCTCAACACAAACATGTCTCCTCACAACTCATCCTTATGCGAATACATCAATTTGCTTCTTTGGCTAAGCAACCACAGGTGCAAACTGACAACTCCCATCACGACCATACTCCCCCTTGTTAACACTTGGACAGACTCTCATTTTTCCGAACCGCTTCACCTCTGACATGCAAACTGGTATAAACGAGTACTCTTCCTATTGGAACGAGACTACCAGGCTGGCAAATGATATCGTCCAAAACAAACAAGGCTGAAAGATGGGACACATTGCGACAGGATCGACATTGCAACTACTAGGTAAGAGCCACATGAGAAAAACTAATCAGGATCAAGAAATCTGCATTGCATTATTCCTTCTGTCTTGTAGACACAAATGTCAAATGAACATCACTGCCAACAGCATACTAAACTCAAGCCAACATCTTATGGAGGCATATAGAAGCAGGAAACACTTCCAACTTCAAATAAACTCTTTGAAGCTTTCAAAAATAGCATGGTACCTCTTCCAAGGCACAATTTGTTGCTCTTTTGTTTCAACTCATCTCTTTGATTATGAATTTGCATCTTTGCTTCCTCCCAGTGAGAATTTAATCTCGGCTTCTTCACCCAAACCTTGACAATCTCAACTGCGATTACCTATAAACAAACAACATAATAGAACCAAAAGATAAAAAGATTTGCAGAACAACACAATCAATCCCAAAATGCAGATTACAAGGTCAAATTTGCAGACAAGAAATCAAACCAAGAACAACAGTAGCAAGTAGACACAGCAAAAAACTAGAGTCCAAATTCAAATTTCAGAGTCACGAAGGGTCGCGATGTTTGACTCAAAGACGAGCTAGAGTCGCAGATCAACCTTTGAGTTGCAAAGCCAGATCGAAAAGCTAAGTCTAGTTTGCAATCATGAAGAGTCCTAGAAAGAGTCGATTGCTAGAATCAAGGTTTCGAATATCACCAAGTACCTTCGGGCCAATTTCAAACCTAATCCAAGACTTGCGGATTATTTACAGATCTCACCCAAACCTTTTGGATCAGTTTCAGATCTCCTTCTTCGATGTGAGAATACAGACTTCAATCCAGGTACGCAAGTTAGATGGTGATCATCCAATAAGTTATGAACTCAGTCCCAAATTATGATTTCGATTGGCGAAATTAGAACAGTGAAGTCGATCGATCGAACTCAACAGCGAATCAAGAGGAAACTTCGCAAATCCCAGTGTCAATCGAAACTGAATTTGATTTAGATTCTGCGAAATCCAGAGCAACAATGAAGAGCTGGAGTCGCAAAATCAAGATTCAACTCACGATCAAGTTCGCAAGACCGAGAATCACTCACGGTCAACAACCAATTCGTGAAATCAAGTCTAGGGCTAGGCCGTGATCTCGAATCTTGAATCTGGACCTAGTCGCGACTATCCAAACGATTGCGAACCTAGATCACATTTGGTTAGGATATCGAGTTCCTTCAAGTAATGCAAGATGTGAAATCTGAAATCTGAGTTGAAGAGAGATGAACAATAGTTCTTTTTCACCCCCACCAGGCCAAGTTCTTGATGCTTTGATACCAAATGATGAACTCCAAATGCAAAATCAAGAGAGAGAAGACAAATGCCCCAATTAGAGGTAAAACCCCTTCGGGCTAGAGAGAGAAACTAAGCTTTACTCCAATTTCAATGTATATTCTTTTATTCCAAAAACTCAGTACAATGGACTATTACATCACCTATATATAGACTAGAACTAATAAGCTATTTAATTGACACTTTAGCCTATTTATTCTACTACATCACCAAGGCATGGTTATCTTGTCATGAGCTATAAAAAGAATTATCGTAAATTCATAATATCACTACATAAACATGTCTGTATTAATAATCACTACGTAGTATTCTCCATTATTCTTGAGACCTATGAAGCACGGACACCTCTCCGAGGGCTCCGTACCAGTGTTGGACACGTGTCGGACACGGACACGCATCGGACACGCGGTGGACACATGTCCAACACGCACTAGAGTGTCCAATTTTATTTTTTTTTGAAGCCGGACACGTCCAAGACACGTTATGGACACTTTCGGGACACGCACGGGGTCAATTTCAAAATTTACAAAACATTTTTAGGGTCAATTTCAGAATTTACAAAATATTTTTGGGGTCAATCTGTAAAAAAACAAAAATAACTTTTGTTTGCCCTAAATGGATCAAAGAGCTTAGCAGAGAACAAAAAGAGAGAGAGAAGGCGAAGATAACAGAGGAGAAAGAGAACCTGGTCGCTCGTCCGTCGCTCGTCGCCGCTCCTCGGCTGTCGCTCGTCGCTCGTAAGGTACACCTTCTTCTTCCTTCTTCTTCCTTCCTCGGCTTCGGTCTTCTTCCTTCTTCTTCCTTCTTCTTCTGGTATTCGTTCGTCAGTCGATGTTTCTCTCTCTGTCTGTCGACGTCTCCTTTCTCTCTCTGTTTGAGTATATTTTTGTTTTTTATTTTGTTTTTTCGCGTCTTTTTTTTTTTTTCTATTTTCATTTTTTATTTTTTCCCCCTCTATATGTCTTATTTCAGAATATATATATATATATATATATTTATTAATTAGTTTTGTTAATATGTCTTATTTCAGAATATATATATATATATATATATTATTAGTTTTGTTAATTTTAATAATAATGTGTGTTTATTAATTTTATTATAGGAACAAATTTGTAATTCTGAACCAATGGCTACTACGGGCGGTAGTTCTAATGATATCCCTGATGATGATTTTGATGAGAACAAACCATTGTGGAAGTATATAACTAAATTAGCAAAACCTGGGAAAGGAGGAGGAAATTGCCAATTACAATGTAATTTTTGTAATAATACTTTCAAAGGTTCCTCTACTTAAATTCACATTTTCTGATATTTATGGATTTTGTAATAGATGATAGTTGTTGGTACATTGGATAATTTTATATTTTGTGGTTCGATTTTCATGCATTTTGTAACAAATGATGGTTGGTAGCTTCGAATGACATCTTATGTATTGATGGAATGCAATTTTATGTTATTTCAATGTTTTTTTAATTATTTTTTAATAATTTTATGACATATAATAAATAAAATTTGTAAAAATATTGATGTATTTATTGATTGATATTGTTACAAGATTGTTATGTATTACAAATGGTGAGTGGCTTATTATATAGGAGAGGGTGGGTGTAGTAGGTGAGGAGTATGTGAGGAGTAGGTGGTGGTAGGTGATGGTAAATGGGTGGTAGGTGATGGTGATGGTAAATTCTAACAAAATTAATTATATATATTGAACGTATCCCCAGCGTGTCGTGTCCCCCATTTTTTGAAAATTTGCGTGTCGGCGTGTCCATGTCGTGTCCGTGTCGTGTCGCGTGTCCGTGTCCGTGTCCGTGCTTCATAGCTTGAGACCATATAAATAGGTATACTCTCGCTAAATTTCTAATTAGTGTTAACAAATTAAACCCTGGGTATTCAAAATTTTCAATATAAACCCTAAAATTCTGATTTATAGTGCTTCGTTTTTTCTATTTGTGTGTGTGTGCAACGGTGGGTAGGGGTGGGATGGAGTGGTGGCGGACATTGTGGACCGAGGAGATGATGGCAAAGGTGGATGGCCTATGGTCAGAAGTGAGGCAGTGGATTATTACTATATATATTGTATGTTTTGTTGATGAAGATGATGAGATAAAAAAATAATAATAACAATAATAATGATGTGAATTTACAATATCAGCATCATCCGTTAGTCATTCTAAATGGAGATGAACAGATGTTTAGGATTGGGATCTCTTTAAAAATTCAGAGTTTAAATTGATTAAATTAAAATGCTGGGGTTCAATTTGTTACAAAGGGTCAAACAGTAAGGTATTTGTTTTTTGTAATTTACCCAATATTTAGTTTACAATTGTGGCACTGTGACACATGCACATATAATATTGTATGTAGAAAGCAAACATGCAATAACAATGAGCAAATTGTCACCTGTACGCAAGGTGTGACATGGTTACCCGTCAATAAGACCTTCTCTAGTGTTCCACCTATAGACTCTACACGAGGCTTTAGTGTCTCTTCAAGGAGATCTGTCTCGTCAATCGTATCAAAATTGAACTTCACCTGAGAAATACAATTCAATACATCACCACAATAAATATCAAAAGGCATCTACTCTGATTTAATTCTGGCATTAAATGCACAATAATACCAGTAGTGTGTGCTCAACATTGTATGAGTTCTTAAAACAATCACGATTCTCTGAGGGTGTTGGCTTGAACTCCGATATCCCCTGTCTGACCTAGAGGAAGAAATATCAACTTTAATAATGTATCCAGGTTAGTTGTAACACAGTTACCAGTCTACCACTTGAAGGTATCAGAAAGGGTTAAAGAAGCTTTGAACCATGCAAATATTATACATGTTTTCCCCCACCTCTGATCCCTAGACTGATAAACTGTCTAGTTAAAATTTTTAAAATCCATTGACCAAATCTTTTTAATGGATTTTAGCAAAAATATTTAAATTATTGGTAAACTGGATCTTCTGAAATAATTAGACTCAAGGACAGTCAGGTAAAGAGACACAAATCGAAGATCTACATTCCACAAGAAACAAAGAAGTCTGCTCAAAAAACAGTTTCTTGGAGAATCATTTAGGCATCCAACCTGATTCAGTACTGAGGGCAATTGATCGACAAATTTGGTTAAGGAAACCACAGCTTCCTGATCATAGTCTGGTATCATTGCAGCCATATCAAGTAGTGTCTTCCATGCATCTCCTACATTATTTGTATCAATGATAGGTTGGAGTATTCGGAAAAAGTGAAGAACACAAGAATATACATTTAAGTCTAGTAACCCAAGCATCAAGTAATGCATTCACATGAAAGGAAATATTACCACTAACAGTCATACCTAGAGATAATTACACAACTACGCACATGACCGCTGTGTGCTCGTCCCAAATCTTCATCAACCATAGTACAATGCTAAGCAGCACAAACACAGGACACAATAAACCAAACCAAGCCTTAAGTCTCATCAAATGGGGTCGGCTATATGAATCATTCTTCTCCATTCGACTCTATCCCAGGCCATAAAACACGGGACACAATGATCTTCAAAAAATTAGGAGACATATAGGCGGTGCTTGGCAACAACTTTTTTTGGTTTTTTTTTTATTTTTTTTCACTAAAAGACATTTTTTGCAAAACCAAAAAAATAAAAATCCAAACAAAATATCACATCAAACCCCATAATCATTTCACTTTTTCTCTCACAAACATCACATCCAACCACACAAAAAACCATCTTCCCAAACACCAAAAATTTTTTCTCTAATAATATCCCACAACTAAAAAAACCTACATAAAAATCCACTTTCCAAACACCCACATAGAGGGGTTACGACAAAAAATAAAATTAATAATGACTATATATTGTTATTTGCTATGTATTGAGATGAAAGTTGGTCGAGCGAATTGGGCCTGGGTTCAAAGGGAACTAGACACAGCTTGATTGTGACCTCAAGATGTTGGGCTGACTCAAAGGCACCTCTATTTGTGTCTTCGGGCCTTGTGTCGTGGATTAGAAATCTTCTTAATAACTTGCATAAACATGTAAAATACATGAAAATCCGTGAAACAATGGTATTAGGAGAGAGAGATCGATGTAGTAGGATAAATAGGTTAAGCGTCAAAATGAGTTTGTATATGTTAGAATATATAGTGGTATATGTTATTTTTCATGTTGAGTGAGGGTAATATGGTCATATAGTCATATTGTATTTTATATAAATATTTGTTGATGGTTTAGGTTTATTCAAGAACCTAAAAACATACGGTTAATGTTTAGTCTTCTCTTTGTTCCTTCTCTCTTTTTCTCTAGCCTTAATCAAAGTTTTTCATACTTTTACACTTCAACTGTATATAAATGTCCATTTAGTGGGTGAAGTGTCCTATGAGTTGTGGCCTATACATAAATGATGTAAGGATCATTCTACTTGGTTTTTAATTGAATAATATAGATTTTGGTTGAGCTATGTGCTCTGCTCTCTCTCTCTCTCTCTCTCAATTTGATATTTGATTGCAATGCTTGCATTAGATATCAAGATGACTTGTGAACCTCTGGCTGGGATGGAGAAACTGGTAGATGCAAGCAAGCTCTAGCCCTTACTCTATAGGGCAACCCACATTTTTAGTAAGTGTTAAAATTGATGTATTATTGATTGATGTATGTTATTAATTACAAATGGTGAGGGGCTCCTTATATAGGAGATGTAGTGGAGTAGGTGGTAGTAGGTGGTAGTGGTAGGTGTGTAGTAGGTGGTAGTAGGTAGTGGTAGGTGTAGTAGGTAGAGTAGGTGATGGTAGGTTTTAACAGCCCCCCGCAAACTCAAGGGGGATAGGAACTAACCAACTTGAGTTTGGAGAGAGTAACAAAACAAGAAAATAATCTGAAAAATAAAAAATGGATAGGAGACACTGTATGGTCGTGTCAGACCGTTGTAGAAGACTGTATGGTTATGGCAGACCGATGTAGAAGACACTGGCTCGTGTCGGACCGATGTAGAAGACAGTTTATGGGGTCATGTCGGACCGTTGTAGCAGACAATGTTGTGACAGTTGTTGTGACAGTTTACGGAGTCTTGCTGGACCCTTGTAGAAACCAACCGGAATCAATGTCGGGACATTTTACAGAGTCTTGTCGGACCCTTGGAAAAGCTAACCGGAATCAAATGTCGGGACAGTTTTGGGAAGAAGACTGGACCGTGTTGTTAAATCTTTGTGGTGGCCAACACCACTTTAAAAATTATTTTTATTCACTTTTTTGGTCCTTATGCATATCATTTATGGGGGAAAAAAAAAATCAAACTAATCTAATAATCATGGTCATACAATTTTATTTTATTTATTTTTTAAAAAATAGACAAGTGTAATTTTAAAAATAAACCATTAATTTTTTTGAAGATAAATATGATAAAATCATATGTCTGCAATTATTGAATTAGTTTGATTTTTTCAATGAATAATCTGCACATAGAGTCTTAAAAAATGAGTAAAATGAATTATCCAAATAGACCCGGACCTAATTGCATGATCCAATCTTCTCTCGTGACCCAATTTTTTTTTTTTTTGTTGTCAAACACAAAGATATGGGACTTACATTAATAAGTGTGAGTTTGGAAACAAACCAAATCAGTAATGTATTGGTTTATTGATTATTTTTATAATATAATCTTTCTATTTTTTTATACGTCTTTTTATAAAAAATTAAATAAAAAATTAAAAGATAAACGATGCCCAAACTCACCTACTTACATAAGTCTTTTGTGTCTAACCAATAAGTTATTAGAAAATATGATAAAAAGTAGTTTATGTATAGTATATTTTTCATGTAGATTGAGAAAGCTTTAGTGGTGTATATATGGTTTACTTACGGTCAACTGCTGAACAACATTGGGAGAGTCTTGCAAGAAATATATGGCTAAAGCTATGGAAACAGAAGAAGTCTCATGGCCTGCAAACAGCAAGCTCAGTACCAAGTCCAAACTTTGCTCCTTTGAGAGGTTTGAATGCTTCAATGCCCATCCCAAAAGATCATCATCCTCCAAATTCTCTGTTTTTTCTCCCATCTTCTCCATCCTCTCTTCCATTTTTTTTTTTTTTTTTTTTTTTTTTTTTTTGTGTAAAATTGTGATCGGGGTTGACCCCTGAGATGAATAAAATATGGGTGTTGTGCAAACTCGAATGGTAGGTGTGGTAATGCAAAAAAATCAACTGGAATGAATGTAGTTTTGGGTGTTTGTTTTTTTGTTTTTTTTATTTTTTTATTTTTTTATTTTTTTTTATTTTTTTTATTTTAATAATAATAATAATAATAATAATAATAATAATATATAAAATGAAGTGTTGGAATCCAGTGTGAACATGCTGATGATGAAAAGTCAAAAAACATAACATAAATTAAAAAATTAAAAGGGGTAGTGGGGAACCGAGAGGTGTTTGGTCAGAGTGGTGGACCAAAAAAAAAAACATGATAATTATATATCTGAAAATGATAAATAAAAGAAAGATGGAGACAACATGATAGCGGTGTGTATGGATGTGATAATGAGAGTCGTAGTGGGTGTGATTAAATAAATAAAAGAAGAATGGGTTTTGTAGTGGGTGTGATTAAATAAATAAAAGAAGAATGGGTTTTGTCCTTGAGTAAAGAGAGAGATCTGTGTTGTGGTGTGTGTGGTATCAATTATAGAGAGAGAGCCATCACCCATGCATTTTGGTAAGATGAGAGAGAGTTCAGCCGTGTGTGGTGAACATGGCATTGTCAGCAATTGGGATGACATGGAGAAGATCTGGCATCATACGTTCTATAATGAACTCCGTGTAGCCCCTGAAGAGCATCCTGTACTTCTTACAGAAGCACCCCATTTCTCTCTCCTCTTCGTTTTCTCTCTCGTCATTGCGACGTCCTTCGCTTCAGCCGCCGATTCGGACGGCGATGACGCCATAATCCGGCAGGTCGTCGGCGAGGACCACCAGTTGAACTACGAAAACCACTTCAGCCTCTTCAAGAGCAAGGTCGGAAAGTCGTACGCCACCAAGGAGGAGCATGATCACAGGGTCTCGATGCTGCGGTGGTGTCGCGGAGGACTTCCGGGGAGGTGTATGCCGGAGTTCCGCAGGCGGTTTGGAGCACTTGCGGTGGAGCTGGTTTTCCGACGAGGCGGAGGGGAAGCGGGAGCACGGTGCTGCGGTGGTGTCGCCGAAGCTACGGAGGAGGAGACTTTGAGTTGTAAATTTGGATGGGTTGATCTGAGATCCCTCTACTGTTTGCAGATCTGGATTTGGTGCTGATGTGATAATGACATCAGAATCTTGCCGAAACGGTACTGAGCGTTGCAATGAAGCACTACAAAAGCTCAAGGAAAAATATGATGTCGTTGTCAATATTCAAGGGGATGAACCTCTAATTGATCCGGAAGTAATAGATGGGATTGTCAAAGCGCTGCAAGCAACCCCAGATACAGTGTTTAGCGCTGCAGGCAACCCCAGATACAGTGTTTAGCACTGCAGTCACATCTTTGAAACCTGAAGACGCATGTGATCCGAATCATATGAGGTGAAGAATTCTTCTCCATCAGCCTCACACATGACTACAGTTGCACAAATCTTTGTTGATTTTATCAGCGGAATAGGTTGAGGTCCGGCGGGTGGCTAAGGTGAGGTTGCCGCCCGCCGGGGAAGCGAAAATACTAGGTTTTAAACCAGCTCTGATACCATGTTAAAATTGATGTATTATTGATTGATGTATGTTATTAATTACAAATGGTGAGGGGCTCCTTATATAGGAGATGTAGTGGTAGTAGGTGGTAGTGGTAGGTGTGTAGTAGGTGGTAGTAGGTAGTGGTAGGTGTAGTAGGTGGAGTAGGTGATGGTAGGTTTTAACAGTAAGATTGCTAGGCGGGCAAAAGTTGCGTGAGGAGGCTTTGAAGCATGGGTGTCACGCCTAAAGTTCAAGTAGTGTGGGAAGCTGCTGTCCATATTCCATCTTCCTACCTTTCGTGGGCTGTTTAAGGTATAACTCAAATAGGTATAAGCATGTTTTTGGTGTCTTGTTGCGAACAATGACATATGTTCAAGGGGTTGGGAGTGAGTGATGGGCTGAAAGTGAGTTGCAGTTAGCTGGAGCGACTTCTGTATTGACGGTCGGAAAAAAAGAAGGATATCAGGAGCGGAATATTAGAAGTGGAAGAAGGTGCTGCTATTGGTTGCCTTTGATAGCTTGCCTTCCAAGGGAAAGTTTAAGGCTCCATTTATAGGTCAAAAGGGTTAGTTGTATTGTTGATAGATGGCTTGGCTCATTTAATACTTGAGAGGACAAGAGGTAAGCTCAAAATGGAAATCTTCTCTTTGCTGCTTCCTAGAATTTGCCAAAAATGGAAAATTTCAGGTGGGTTATATGGACATAAATTGTACACGTGTTAACTTTGTGGGTTGAGATGATTGAAGAGATGCAAAGCCAGGGGTTCAGTCAGCCCTTGATAAGCACCATTGGTCCATAGCATGCCTAGAGCAACCAGCTCTTGACCTAGCATGTTTGCTGTCGGAGGGCGCATATCAGGGCCCCTTTGGATCTTTACATGCCATACTACTGCTCCATGGAAATCCCCGTGGAAGTGTGCTGGCCACCTGTTAATCTCTAATAAGATTACTTGGATTGAGGAAATCTGCAGCTAATAGCTTGGTTGAGACTTAGTCATTGTTGTTCAATGTTGATGCTCATTGCCCTTGAGCTGGACATACCGATGCTAAGCTTAGGGAACTTAGGCTTCCTGGACATTTGTTGGTTCACCCCATGCACCATGAGCAAGGTTTGAGCTTTGTTGGTTGCCCTCAAGCTTCTTAGAATCAATTAGGTCTTATTTTATGGCATTGGTTAGGCCTTGATTTTGTTTCCTTTTACGTTATTTCCTATCCTGTAAATCTCTATCAGTATATATACACAGGCTAGTCTCCATTCTAGACTAAGCCATTCAATTCTTCTATTCTTTTTGGTATTAGAGCCAAACCCTAGCCACCAACTTCCTCTCTCTATTTCGGCAGCCCTCATCTACCCGGTAGCCCCACCTAAGGTTTTAAAAAGCGGCCGCAACCGTTACGTAATGCCGTTACGTAACGGTTTTGGTGGTTACCGCCATCCGTTACGGCCGCTTTTGCAATGCGATTGAGATTCACAGGTGTGTCGGCCGTAGCGGTCGTAATGGTGCCATAACGGCCGTAACGGCTTGTTACACACCGTTACATAACGGTTCCAAACTGCTTCAAAAAAAAAAAAAAAACTGAAAATGGGGGAAGGGGGATAGAGAGAAAAGGGAAGAAGGTGAAGTAAGAAATAGAGTAAGGAGTAGCATAGGAGCAAGACCTATGCTATATTCTATTCAGCTGCTATCACTCAACCATTTTGTTTGTGTGCATCTATCTATATATTGTTTGAAAATAATAATAATAATAATAAGTGTGGTCATTATCTATTTATATATATATAGGCTATTATTTATTCTTTTACATTTGTCATTGTTTAGTAATTGATTTTTTTGTAAAATATCTAGAAAACATAACACCTATAATTATATATTAACACATTTTTTATACATGTCAATTTTTTTTGATTAGTTTATTTTATTTTTATTTACTAGTTATCCAAAAAGAGAATGAATATTCAAGTAATCCAAATCCAAACAAAAAAAAAAATTCTTTATAATTTATTTTTTAATTTTTATATGATTACATTAGCATGCATAATTTATTTTTTAAAACTATTCAAATTAAAAGTTGCATATGCTTCCACAAGTATAATAATTAAAAAAATAATTTTATACATCTAAGTCCAATAATATATATATATTTTTTTGCCACAAGCATAATATGAATTTATGACATATAAAGTCATTAATTATTAAAATAAAATGTAAAAAACTCAGTTCATAGTGATTTAAAAATATAAAATTTATTGGATCATATTTTAAAATTTAAAAAAAATGATCAATATTTATTTTAAAACCCAATAAATATGATAATGGAAAAAAAATATGCGTATCGGTAAGTTTTTTTAAATTGTGCGAAAAATAAAAAAATTCATGGTTCCGGTTACCGCAACCATTACGTTACGGCCTTTACATCCCGCAACCACAACCGCGCCACTGCCACCGTTACAGCGACTACAACTGCTTTTCAGAACCTTCCCACCCATTACACCGGCTGCCTCTTCTCTCCTACCTATCCACCCTACACCCCTTCTTCTCTTTCTACCCTAGCCGACAGCCACCTTCATCCCTCCACAACCCCTCAACCCTACTGCCGACAGTCTTTTAGGTGCCAACTAGGCCCTCTCTGGCTTGGGTCTAGTGCGGCTGGTCTTCTCGATAGTTTTACCCCCTTTTTACCCTTCCAGGGTTCTTGTGTTGATGTGGTAAACATCTTTTCTTTGTTATTTTTGTTAGTGGGCTACCGGATTATTCGGTAGCACTTGTTGGATTAGTTACACCATGTGTTCGGTGTGTTCTATGATTTGTGTATCATTCTATATTGTTAACCATACACATCACCTGCTTCTCTAGTCACCATGACTGAGTCTTCATCTAATGTTTTTACTATGGTACCAGTTACTCCAAATTTTTCTCTCACATCATACTCATTTTCATCGTATCACGAGTGTGGCGCTGAATGGGAAAAATTTTGCTGCCTGGAGTCGTTCCGTTAAGCTTTATTTACGAGGAAAGGGGAGAACTCATTGGCTTTCATTGTAAGGTTTTTGAAGAATTTTTGTGTATTCAATTGTGTTTTGGAAACAAGAATACATTAGTATATATAACAATTCAAACATTAGAACTAAAAAGGAAACAAAACTATATGCTCAAATCTCTAATATATATACCACCATATATATATATAAACCTAATATTTTCACACCCCCGCTCAAACTTAAGGTGTTTGAGAAGAAAATACTAAGAGTTTGCCAAGAAGAAACTAAAACCGAGCAGTGGTGTGGGTTTTGGTAAAGAAGTCAGCGAGTTATAGAGTCGAAGAGACGAAAGGAAGCGAGATAGAGCCAGACTACAGAAGTTGACGGACAAAGTGACAATCAATCTCAATGTGCTTCGTCCGCTCATGAAAGACAATGTTATGGGCAATCTAAATAGCACTGCGGTTGTCACAATAGAGGGAGGTCGGAGAAGACCAAGGGATACCCAAATCAGATAAGCGACAACAAAGCCAAACAATCTCAACAGTAGCATAAGCTATAGCACAATACTCTGCTTTGGCAATGTAGTGAGCAACAACAGTTTGTTTCTTGCTTTTCTAAAAGATCAAGGAATTGCCAAGAAACATACAAAAACCAGACATGGATTTGCTATCAGTAACCTCACTAGCCCAATCAGAATCAACATAGGCCACTAAGTCCAGAGAGGAAGTAGATAACAACAATAAACCCTGAAATATAGCATCTTGGAGATAGTGAAGAATCCGAACAAATGCAGCCAATGTGAGGAGAGAGGAGCAGAAACAAACTGACTAACCATATGAACAACATAGGCAAGGTTAGGATGAGTAACCATCAGACAGACTAAACAACTCACAAGCTCTCGATATAAAGTAGGATCAGGCAAAGGAACACCATCAGTAGTCTTAAGTTTCACATTAAGCTCAATGGGGGTATCAGCAATCTTAGTGTCAGTAAGACCAATACGGTGAATAACTTCATTAGCATACTTGGCCTGAGACAACAAGTAGCCCTTGGAAGAAGAAGCCACTTCAATACCAAGAAAGTACCACAATGGGTCCAAATCTTTCATTTTGAAGGTGCGAAAGAAATACTGCTTGACCTCAGAGATAGCAGAAGAATCAAAGCCAGTAATAATCATATCATCCACATACAGTAATAAGGCAACAAAACCAGCAGAGATGTGGAGGAGAAACAAAGTAGAGTCCTAGGTAGAAGGATGAAACCCAAGCTCAGTAACAGTAGTCTGAAAGCGATCATACCAAATACGAGGAGATTGTTTCAGACCATACAGAGTATGCCGAAGACAACAAACCTGTCCATAGGAATGGTGAAGACCAAGGGAAGGACGCACGTAAACCTCCTCAGCAAGATAACCATTAAGAAAAGCATTCTTATCATCCATCTGATAAAGAGGCCAATGACGAACAACAGCGACATATATTAAAGTACGAACAGTAGTCATCTTGGCAACAAGGGCAAAGGTCTCCTCATAATCAATAACATACTCATGTAAAAAACCCTTGGCAACCAGGCGAGCCTTGTAGTGCTCAAGAGAACCATCAGAATGAGTCTTAACTTTGTCCCTCCTCCATTACTGTTGTCCAACACTCAGGCTCTTCAGTGCACTGCTAGTTCTCCTCTTCCCCTTCATCAATGGCATCGTCATTTAGGTCATCCATCCTTTAGTATTTTAGAAAGACTTTTTCCTTCCTTAGTTCGAGATTGTTCTAGGAACACTTTTGTTTGTGATGCTTGTAAATTTGCTAAGCATAAACGTACTTGTTATCCTTCAATTAATAAAAGTACCTTTCCTTTTATGCTTGTTCATACTGATGTGTTGGGGCCTTTCCCCGTAGTGTCTACTTCTGGATATCGTTGCTTTGTCACTTTTATTGATTGTTATTCCCATGTGACTTGGGTCTATCTTCTTTGAACTAAAAGTGAGGTTTTTTTTTTCTTATTTTCGCCTTTTTTCATAAAATGGTACACAATCTCTTTAATGCTACCACTAAAAGTCTTCGGAGTGATAATGGGACTGAGTATATTAATGGAGCTTTCCGAGCATACCTTGAGGAGCATGACATTCTTTATTAGACTAGTTGCGTTGGCACTCCTGAGTAGAATGAAGTCGCTAAACGCAAGAATGGCCATCTTCTTGAAGTTACTCACTTCCTTTTGTTTACCATGAAAGTTTCTAAGTCTTTTTGGGGTGATGTTGTTCTTACTGCTGCTTATCTCAACAACTGTATGCCTTTCAGTGTCCTCAATTCCAAATTCCTCTTGCACTTCTTCCTGTGGCTTCTCCCACGTCTTCCATTCCTCTGGTTTTTGGGTGTGTCTGTTTTGCTCATTTGCAGCCTCGTACTCATGAAAAGCTTGATCCTAAAGTTGTGCGTTGTGCCTTTCTTGGCTATTCTGCTACTCAGAAGGGTTACAAAATGCTATGATCCTCACACTCGAAAAGTGTATGTTAGTATGGATGTCACCTTTCGTGAATCTGAGTCCTTTTTTATTTCTTCTTCGCTATCTCCTCCGAGGGAGAGTGTTATAGATGAGATTGCGGATGAGATGATGTCATATCAGCCTGAGAGTGGTTTTGGTGTTAAGCCTGACATTAGGGGCGTTTGGATAAGGTTGATTTTAAGACTTATTCACGACGCCAGAAAGAGCAGCCATCCAATGTGCCACCAAGTGAATCATCGTCCCTCGTGCCAGCTCCAGATCCTATTTCCACTGATTCTACAGGTAAAATACCTCATTCTATTTCTTCATCAGTAGTTGACAATCCTATTATCAATGATTTGAGTCTTCCTACTGCTCTTAGAAAGGGGGTTAGGGCATATACTCAACACCCTATTTATAAATTTCTATCCTATGATTCATTGTCTCCTATATATAGTGCTTTTGTTTCGTCTCTATCTTCTATGTGTATTCCACAGTGTTGGAAATAAGCTGTTAATGATCCTGAGTGGAAAGGAGCTATGGTAGGAGAAATGCAAGCCCTAAGCAAGAATAATACCTGGGAGTTAGTCTCTCTTCCAAGTGGAAAAAATATTAGTGCGATGTAAGTGGGTGTTCACCATTAAGCAAAAGGCAGACGGGGCAATCAAATGATACAAAGCAAAAGGGATATACTCAGACATATGGAATGGATTATCAAGAAACCTTTACTCCTGTAGCAAAGATGAATTCCATTTGAGCCATCCTTTCATGTGCAGCTAACCTAGAGTGGCTTATGCAACAACTAGATGTGAAGAATGCATTTCTTCATGGGGATTTAGAGGAGGAGGTTTATATGGATGTGCCATCAGGATTCTTCTCTCAATCTACAGTTGGGAAAGTCTGCAAGTTAAAGAAAGCGTTATATGGTTTGAAACAGTCTCCTCGGACTTATTTAACAGATTTCTGAAAGCAATGTTAAGGTTTGGGTATAAGCAAAGCAATGCAGATCATACCATGTTTGTCAAACGCAATGCAAATAAGGTAACTATGGTTATTGCATATGTGGATAATATAGTTGTGACAGGAAATGGTGAAGAGGAGGATGTGAGACATCTGAAGATGAAGTAGACCGAGGAGTTTGAGATCAAAGATCTCGGCCCATTGAGGTACTTTCTTGGAATTAAAGTTGCCAAATCTGACAAAGGCATCCTTATTTCTCAAAGGAAGTACATTCTAGATCTTCTTGAAGAAACAAGCATGTTAGGCTATAAGCCAGCTAATTCACCTATTGAGGTTAGCCATCATCTTTGTAGTAGTGTTGATAACTCGGTGGAGAAGGAAAGGTACCAAAGATTTGTTGGACAGCTTATATACCTCTCTCACACTCTGCCGGATATTGCCTATCAGTTGGGATAGTAAGTCAGTTTATGAATGATCCTAGTACAACACATTTGGAGGCTGTGTATTGCATTTTGAGGTATCTTAAATTTGCCCCGGGAAAAGGAATTTTATTTTCTAATCATGGGCACTTGAGGTTGGAGGCATTTACTGATGCAGATTGGGCAGATTCTGTAGATGACAGGAGATCTACATCTGGTTACTGCACTTTTGTAGGGGGTAATTTAGTCACTTGGCATAGTAAGAAACAAACAGTGGTGTCCCGGTCTAGTGCAAAGGCAGAATACCGAGCTATGGCGCATGGTACTTGTGAACTCATGTGGCTTCAGTCTTTGTTGAGTGATATAGGAATTGTTTATGGTGATCCTATGACTAAACTATGACAACAAAGCTGCCATCAGTATTGCTCACAATCCTGTTCAACCTGACAGAACCAAACATATTGAGATTGACCGACATTTTATTAAGGAAAAATTGAATAAAGGTTTGATGTGTATACCTTTTGTAAAGTCGGAAGATCAATTGGCTGACGTGTTTACCAAAGGTCTTAGTAGTAAGGTCTTTCATCCAATTTGTTGCAAGTTGAGCATGAGAGATATATTTGCACCAACTTGATGGGGAGTGTTAAGTGTTAGTGTATATGTCATCCATGTCACACCATGACATCAGCCCTATTCTGATGTCATTCATGACATCAACCCTATTCTATGACGTCATCCACAACATCATTCCTATCCTGATGTCATCCATGACACCAGCCCTATTTTATGATGTACTCCATAACATAAGCCCTAATCTACTTTGGCTTATACATAGGCTACTTCATCTCATTGTAAAACACACAATTCTACATATCAATAAAATCTTCTCTCTCTCTTCTTCTTCTTCATCTATATATCTGACAAGCAGTAATACAGGGAGACAGAGATACGAGAGAAAAACCATACCTTTTGTTTCTTCTTCTTTATATTTACTTGGATAAGGGACCCCTTCAGCACATTCTTTTTTTTTGGGTAAGTGCCTACAGCACATTCACTTCTTAAAAGATATATTTATATTGTATACTAGGGAAATCCTATGGTACACTCCCCTCTAAGGGTGTGTACTACCACAAATTTCGTAACTTCACCCCAAAATTTCATAACATCAACCACAAAATGCGTAACCTTACCACAAATTAGCATAACAAAATGTCCAAAATTTTATGTTTCATGTAACAAAAGTTTGTGGCTTGGTTACAACATTTCTCAAATGCCATTTTTGTCCCACTTTTAGAATCTTAGGTCACTAGCCATCACTTGCCTTAGTCTTGCACCAATTTTGGCATTAGAGGAAAAGATCTGTTTGAGAACTGAATGCATGTTAAGAAGTGACAAATTTATCAAGCTACAGGTTCTGAAAGCAATTCTAGCAAAGGGGAAGCGAACTTGTTTGGTTAGAGGTGTTTCCCTCCATGCAAACAGTCACAAGGAGAAGCATTAACTAGACTTACCACTGGTTTGATAAGATGATGAAACTCTTGACGAAGAGTCGACTAAACAAGAAACTTGATCAAACAACCCTCACAAAAACAGAGTTCGATTGTAGGGCAGACAAGAAAAAGCTTAGAAATTTGGGAGTATCTGGTACAAAGAAGTATATCTTAAAGAACTTGGCCAATTGTCTATAAAAGTTTCCTTGAGTGGCGTGTCAGTGAAAAAGCTAGTTTGAATGTTTTTCTATACCCAAGAACATAAGAGTTTTCTTTGCAAAGGCAAAAATGAAAGGAACAATGCGATTATGGTTCTAAATTAAATTAAGAAATCAAGTTTTACCCAAACGAGAGACAAAAAGAAAAATCAAGAGTAAGAATGCAATCTACCTGAGACATTCCTAGCCATGGAATAAATTGGAGATGATTCCACAACAGGCACCATTTGACTAACAAGAGGACCTAACTGCAGAATAGCATTGCAAACACTTTAGAACGTGCAATAGTAATTTGCCAAAGCACGACAATTCTGCAAGTAACTATCCTATAAACATTCAAGAACTTTATAAGCTCCAAAAGAAAAACTTCATATAGCCATTTTTTTGTTCTTTTCTCTCCCCTTTTTTTTTTTTTGGGTGTTAATAATCTGAATATGCAAAGGAGTTGAGTTACACGAGTAATGAAAGGAGCTGTCCCTAATCTCGAATTTTATAGCAGGTGATTGTTATCTGGTTACAGGTTTTAACATTGAAAGCTACTGCCTCACAGTATACAGTTACAGTTTCAGTTTCAGTTTCAAGGAACCTGTGAAGTGAAGCTTCATAGGTGAGGCTGTTTAAGGGAGATTACACATAATAACCAAACCTTTTTCTTTTTGTTTTTCAATTCATTCAAATTCCTTAAATAATACACACATTGAATCTCATTTGAATTTTAACGCATAACAACAAATTTTTTGTTAGTTAATGGTGCCCCACTTGTATAAAATCACCCCACTAAAAGTTGATCCAATAACTACGCTTTAACTTGAATAATTGATGATCTATATCAACATTAATTTCAACCAGTGATCCATTTAAGCATTATATCCTCTCATCCCTTCTCCCTTGCACCCATTATTTTAATGGAAAAGATCAAAAATACAGAAGATTGAACAAACAAACAACTCGCCTTTAATGGCAAACCAATAAGAGCCTTTAAATATCCACAAACTAACATCGAGTCCTTCATTAAAACATGTGGAAACAACAAAATTGCAAGCAGACCTTTGTAGAGAAAGAATCTCAACTTTTACAATATGGAAAATAAGTCCTATAATGATTAATGTGTTATATGGGTGTCGCTTGGAGCTAAATTAAATATCTTTGTTATGTGAAACACTCAGAAACATGATCCAATATTTATATTAATTTTTTATTTTAATTTTAAGTTGCTATAGAGAATTTTCCTATTGTTAGATTTATTTAATTTTCTTTGCTTTGCTAATTATACTTACGGATAACTTCCACCTTGTTAAGAAAAAAAAAGAAGTATGTTTAATATTAAAAATAATACTCTCATAAACATAAGTTCAAAATATAAAATATAAAATATCAACATAATAATAAAGTACATAATATGAAATCTAAATTTTCTTCAAGTCAAGAGGAAATAGAAATATAAGTTAATATTCAAACAATTAAGTGAAAAGGAAACGAACGAAAGCTTGTCAATTCAAAAAAAAAAAAAAAAAAATGAAAGTTTGAAAAGAAAAAGAAAGAAGCAAGCTCATTTAAACTTGATAGCAACTCAAGTCTTGTTGAACTTGAAGATTTTTACTTAAGTTCTGTGTATTTTTGTGCAATTTTAACAACTTAAAAATAAAAAAAAGAGAAAAATGGCCTATATACAGAATTTATACAAACAAATAAAAAAATGTAGAAAATTTAATGTATAAAGAGAAATAGAGAATTGTATTATTGATTGATGTATTGATATATGTTGTATTACAATGATTCATGATTCAAAAAAAAAAAAAAAACAGTGGTAATGGTGGTGTAACAGCCATTATCACCTTTACGTAACGGTATCAGCCATTACAGTTGTGAATTTCTGTCACACCACTATAGCGGCGTTATGGGTGGTGGTAATCACCACATCCGTTACGTAACAGTCATAGCCGCTTTTCAAAATCTTGATCTGGCATAACTAAAAAACTTGGTTCGGTAGGTAACAAAAGGGAAGGTCATGATAGAGCACCTTTTCTCGCCCAATTTTTATAGATTTATTTCCAAATTAAATTCTTCTTTTTTTTTTTTGATAAATTAAATTCATATTCTAATTTGATTCACCTATGCATTTAAACTAAACCTACCATCTATGTGATTTACCAAAACAGACTAAATCACTTTTACTAGAATGCTTCCATACTTATTGATTCTTTTTCTTTCCAAAATCACTTCAAGAAAGTTTTCCAAAACTAAAAAGTTTCCAAGGATGGAAACTTCCCAAAAATAGAACTTAAATTTAAAGGTTTCTAATAATCTTTTTTGTTTGCATGGGATAGAAGCAATCTAATCTAAGCAATAGCCTTTCAATCATGGATTTACACAACATAGACAATTATAGCAAGTAAAATAACAGAAACATGACATTGATGGGAAATAATGCAAACACATACAAAAAGATGCAAAAGGAGGGAAGGGTACTTACAAAATTCCTCAGAAGCAAAGCCATAAAATCACATTAGGATCATATGAATATGACCAGAAAATGAAGACTAATGCAAGAACACATGACATGAAACCCTAATGGCTTGGAAGGCACTAAGTATGACATGTACAACAAACTAGCATATATTTACATGAAACAAGCAATTAAAGATAAACAAAGCAATAGACAATGCTAAGATATGAGATGTACAGGGCCTATATGCATGATTAATATAACATCAATCCTAAACTAATATAATATTCATGAAAAGTAGATGAAATAATAACGAAGATGATAAAAACTACTCTAAAGATATGAGATATGCATGAGTATGATCTAACCATTATCAAAGACAAAAATCATGGTTTAAGTATCTAAAAACAGCGAAGAAAGTGAAACTAAACAAATAAACAATCGCAAAAATATAACAAAAAGTAAAAAGAGGAGGCGGGAGGACTACAAGATGAAGAAAGGAAATAACAATCTCTAGAATAAAGTTTTAAAGCCACAATTAGATGAGCAACATTTTTCTAGTAGTAGAACAACTTCTTCCTATGATAATGCTTTTAGTAGATGTTTATAAATATAAAAAGCTATGAACAAATGAATTTGAAGAAATATGACTCAAATTAACATGATGAGAACCTAAAATTAACATGTCTCTTTCATAACAACGCAACAAAACAGCACCACGTCTCCATGACAGAAGATTTAATGTGAAACAAACCAGAGCACAATCTAAGAGAGAGAGAGAGAGAGAGAGAGAGAGAGAGAGAGAACAAATTTTGCACTACAGAAATGTTTTTCTAAAGCCAACATTTGAATGTTGGAGAGTTGTGAGAACATTGTCAATACTATTGTCAATATTAAACAAAGAACTTTATGTATTGCAAAAGAGACTGGTGAAGGCTGTCATTTTTTACTTTCTTTCTATTTTGAAGACTACAATCCTAGAGTAGTACATCAAAAAGATCTAATTTTATTAGGGGATAAATATCAATACCATATGCATATGAAACCAAACACAATAAAACTGACAATTAGAAGGAAACCTTAAGGATCTCAGAATAAACACTAAATGCCAAGAAACAAACATAATCACCTGCTCAAAATAAGGGACTGCCTCTGTCGCTGGCCTGTTGTTGAATGATATTATGGCATTGGCCTTCCACAACAAATATGAGAATTTTTTGTCAATTCTCCAAGAATTGTTTCTTTAATTTAAACTACAGGGCATTTTGAAATGTCTATTATGTTTCATAACTACCACATGATTTCAAAATATCCTTGCAAATCTGCTCCAGCCAGACACACATGATTTTTAGGGGGAACAAACAAACCTTTGCTATCTTCTCAGAGAAATAACTTCCTGTAAGTAGTTGGAGAAGTGCACCATTACTGCAATTAACAATTAATAACAAGAAAGATGTCAATACAAAGATGCACTGCTGCTGAACAGGTAACAATATGACTTACCCAGTGCTTACGATCATACTCATGACAGATAGGAAGAATTTAGCAGTTAGAAACAAGTGCACTCACAATTTAGTGGTGAAGTGTCACTAAATCAGGAATTACGTTTGATATGTGCTTGATTCAGCACTTCCTGATGTAATTTGACATAACTAAAAGCCTAATTTTCTTGATATATTATAAAATAAAACCAACAGCCTCCATTGAAAAGTGCAATACAAATTCAAATAAAAAAACCCAAGTTCATGAGATAGCTACGAGGTATATCATACAAATGATTGTGATCACTATATTTCTTCTGGAAACATACATTGCATAAAGTTCTTATATTGTTTGTCACCATATAAAAATTAGCAGAGTCGCACTATGAGCTATTATCTTAACCTAATGAAACAGTTTTATCACTTCCAAGCAGGATATAAGCTCAAGGTGTTGAATATATTTAATAAATCCAAGTACTGTGCAATTTTGACTGTTGATCCATAAGCAACAACATAAAGAGACTGGTACTCGAGCTCAATTAAATGGAGATTATGTCAGGAGAGGCCTGATCCTTGGTGAGATATATCCAATAATTCTACCAATTTCTCTTTCTACAAAACTGAGGGCATCACTGATGAGATTAAACACTATCCCACTAGCGACACTTTAACTTTTTAAATGTAAACACATTCATTCTAAAATTTACCCAAAATAAAAAATAACAAAGACAACATATTTCAGAATCTCAACATCACCTCCACAATACATTGCCCAAAATTAAGAATTTTGGGTGTGAAGCAGCTCTCAACACCTGCACAATGAGGATAGACTCATTTAACCCTTTCTAGGTGTAACTTACTGTAAGTTACATAAACTCAGACAATTGCAACACAAGATTATGGCCAAGCATAGAAGATAGTGAACTCTGCTGTACAAGTTCAGAAAATTCTAGACCAACCTTAAGCCAAGTTTCTGCAATCCTTTGTAAAGATGACACTGATAAGGAACCCAACCCTAGCACTAAATTTTTCAACAGAAGGTATAAGTACCTCTGTAAGCTTGAGCTTTTACAATTAAATAAGTTTCTCTGGTGCTAAGAAGCACGGACACAGACACGTGACACAACATGGACACGCTGACAATTTTCAAAAAATATAAGACACAACAGGTGGAGGACATGTACAGAATAAATAATTTTATATATTTATTATATGAATACATGATTCTAATATAATAAATAAATGTAATATAACACTAATTTCTATAAATTGATATTGTTTTTTCTTTTATCATCATATTCCAAGTTACTTTGTTTAAACTTATAATTAGTTTTGTGTGTCTTTAAACAATGGATACGTGTATTTAAGCAATGGACATGTGTGTCCTCCATGTGTCCAAGTCTATTTTTTTTTAAAAAAAATAAGACACGTTTGGCTGAGTGTTGGACACATGTCGGGAAGTGTCCGACGAGTATCGGTGTCTGACATGAACACAATACCCTTTTAGAAGTGTCTGTACTTCTTAGCTCTGGTGATTTTAACATTTACCAAGTCAAAATTCTGTCTATCATTTTTCCCTCACTCGCAAATTGTCGCAAGGTATTAGCTGATACTATTTTTATAAAACCATTTCAGTTTTGCTAAATTCATGCGTAATAAATTCCATATTTAATATGCCAAATCAATGTGCTTTGGAATAAATTTTGAATGATCTTGAGCATCAAAATCATGATGTTTATCAAAGTTGTCTAGCTTGCTCACAAGGAGCTAATGATACAAGTTTAATCCTATTGCCTGACCCCAAAAGTAATAAAAGGAAAACAATAAGAAATTTTTTGGTACTTCATTGGAGAATATAATTAGTTCTTTAGGCTAATATCCAATAAATCCCCTCAACTCAAAAGGCCTTAATACCAATTACAAGTGGTCATTTACATGGGTCTGCCTTCTCCAATCAGTTCATTGTAAAAGCATGTACTCTATTAATCCCAAACCTTATTTGCACGAAGCGGGAGCGAGGGAACGTGGCCACTTAGAGGAGTCGTAGATTAGGAGCGCTTACGGAGTGATATTATTATATATGATTTAATTAGATTTCTTTTAAACAATTAGATGATTTATTTTATTTATTATATGTTAAAAAGTTAAGAAATAATAATTTACTAAAATTATTATTATATATGATATTTTAAGAAATAACAATTAGATATTTTATTATATATGATAAAAATCATAATTTATAAATTTTATTATATATATATATATTGTATGATAAATTATATTATATATATTATATATGATCAATTATATTATAAAAAGTAAATTATATTCAAACAAAAAGAGAGAGAGCAGGGAGAAGCTTAGAGACAAAGAGGAGATTGACAGTGAGAGGAGAGAGAGAGGAAGACAATCGAGATCAACAGTGAGAGAAGAGAGTGATGAAGATGATCGAAGAGAGAAAAAGAACGAGACAGAGAGATCGAGAAGAAAAGAGAGAAAACGAGAGGCAAAGATAGAGCGATCGAGAGAGAGAAGAAGATCAAGAGACAGAGAGATCGAGATCGAGAGCTCGAGATCTTGATCGCTTCCTTCTCACATCAGATTCGCGTTTCTCACTCCTCAAACTCGCAATTCTTCTCCGATTCTTCCTCAGAAGCACAAAATCGCGCTTCTTCCTCAGATTCGTGAGTATCCTCCATAATTCCGGCTACTAAGTCCCAAACAAGCAAATCGCCATCCACAACCTAAACCCATGTTTTTTTTTTCCCCCATTCCTTTTGTTCTTTTGGCGCCTTCAATAAGAATCAAATCATTCCCATTACTATGTTGTTACACATGACCATACAAGATTACTTGATTTTCCCTCATCTGATCTCCAATCAATGGCTTTACAACTGTTTATAAAACTTATCCTTTTACATATTAAATATTTCTACAATTACATAAAACTTCTGAAGAATTTCTCCATTTGGTTAATCCAACTACTTAATGGGTAATATCCTTCTCGATTAAAGCTAGCTAGAAAAAACTAGTCACTCTTTAGTATCTCCCTTATCTAGCATATTTCACTAAATCCACATTTCTACTTCTAGTTTGGTTCCAACTACATTTTGATTTTATTTTCTCTTTCATCCTATTTGACATAAAATCTATGTGATCTGGAATCTCTCCAAAATTCTAACTGGGAATTAAACCCTACTGCATTTTTATCAACAAAAACTATGTCATCATTAGACATCCTCTTGAATATTTTAAGTTCATCAATAGAAACGCAAAAAGGATAAAAAGCCAATGACCCTTGATGCCAGTTTGTTGTTATGGGAAAGTTGTAGTCTCTTTCTTTTGCGAAGATTATACAACTCCCACTTTTCCCTGTTGTTGATCACACAACTCCCATCAGTTCTTGATCACATTGATAGATCTAATCAACACCCCCTCTTCTACAAAACCCTCCATATTATACCCAATAATTTCCCTGTTCTCTCATTATAATTACAGGGACAAACACTTTATACTAATAATATATGATAATATCAAACCTCCATGAATCCAAGCATAGATCAAGGACATAATATGCAAGTTCATGCATATGTTGATGCAAAGAGTGGCATGAATGAAACAGGACCCTCATCTTTAGGTGAAAAGAGACCATCTAGACCCTTCTAACGATAATTTTAGAGATAAGGCACTGAGATGAACTCACCTGTGGCCAACGGAATAAAGTGGAAGGTTAAACAATTCAGTAGCTGTTAGGTTGGCACTGGGCAATCCAGATGTTGAAATTCTATCCAAGCATGCAATGAACCTCTCATAAATTTCTCTAGCAGCTTCAGCATGATCAAAGGTCACATTATAAGGCACAGAAATGATAAGATAGCCTTCATTTGCTAGAAGCTCAAGTAGATAGCTGCAAGGATAGAAAACAAGGGATATAGCCGAGATTCAGAGATACAAATACATATCTTTTTAAAGTATTATAAAGAGACTAAGTGACGCAGTAGATTAATGTGTAGAAATCAAAATTAATCCTAGTATTGTGTCATTTGTTCCTTGTTAAGTTAAATAAGAGTTGGGGGTTACCACTAGGGTTAGGGATTTTCTTCTGTCTCTCTCTCAATTTTGATCTTGGTTGCAATTCTAATTGCACCATTTTGTATCAGAGCTCTAGAGTTGATCAATACTCCCAATTGTAGTGAAATCCAAATGACCTACCTCCCAAGTTGCCTCCAATGCAATATATCCAACTTTGTATTGATTTGGTGCATGATTCAGCTCTTCCAAAAAAAACAGCCTATAGAATGTCTCCAAAAATTCAAAGGCAGGTTTAAGAACTCTTGGGCTAGGGCTACATACAGGAGAGTCTCAGTCCCTGTGTAGTGCCAGTTCTTTTGATTCCTATAAAGGATGGTTCATAGAGGATGTGTGGATAGTTGAGCCATTAACAAGATAAGTATCAAGTATTGGTTTCCAATTCCAAGATTGGATTATATGTTGGATTGCCTAGCCACTTCCAGGATCTTTTCAAGATTGATCCAAGGAATGGCTATCATCAAATTAGAATTAGATCGAGTGATGAATGGAAGACAGCCTTCAAGACTCCCTTAATGGGATCTTTGAGTGATTGTAATGCCCTTTAAGCTCACTAATGGCCCTAGCACTTTCATGCAGGTAATGACTTATTTGTTAACAACCACCTACGTTACACAGACTCGTCACTTCTGGCGAAGTACCCATGTTGACACGACACGACACGAGTAAGGGTATGGAATACAGCCAAGATACGGCAATAAGAAAATGGATACGGCATACTTGCGATTAGGGTTACGAAAATGGAAATTAGGGCTTGGTAGTAGGAATCATCAGATCTCAATCTTCTTCGCTCGATCTATCTATTTTCTTCCCTCGATGCTCGATATCCTTCTCTATCTTCTCTCTTGATCTCTCTCTTCTTCTCCTCTCTTAATCTCTCTCTCTCTCTCTCTCTCTCTCTCTTGTTGATCTGTCTTCTCTCTTTTTTTTAACAGATAACAAAATAAATCATCTATAATATAAAATAAATCATATATAATATAAATTATTTATATTATAAAATAATTATATACATAAATTATTATTTTATTAATTATATATATAAAACAAATCATCTATTTTTAAAATGTATATATAATAAAATCATATTTAATATAAATTATTTTATACCTAAAATAATTTTTATATTTTATATTTTATATTTTAGGGGGATGCCAATTCAAATATGGGTGATTAGTGGGTGTGGTGTGGTGAAAAGAAATTATTGGGAGTGGTACCTTTGGTTTGAGGAGAAATTATAATAGAACCGCCATGTTATCAGAAAAATACATAAAATTTTATCAGAAAAATACATAATATTTTGTTGACACATCCATGTTTAGCCATATCCACGTACTCGTGTCTAATTTTTGGGTATTTTTTAGACATACCTGCATATCCCTCATTTAGAGGTTTGTTGAGTCGACCTCTAGGTACATACCCGCACCCGACACTCGTACCCGAGTCCATGTAATGTAGCCAGCCACACTTGGGAGTATGTGTAGTGGTATACTTTGATGATATTTTGGTGTATAGTCGCCGCCTTGAGGATCACTTGGTTCACTTTTGGCATGTATTGATATATTCAGAAGAGATAAATTTTATAGCAACATGAAGAAGTGCAACTTTGCCATTGAGAAAGTGGTGTTCTTAGGCTATGTTGTGTCTTCTAGAGGGGTTCTAATAGATGAAGATAAGGTCAATGCATTTGTAGATTGGACTACCCCCTTCTAGTATACAAGAGGTGAGAAGCTTCTATGGCTTGGTTACTTTCTATCAACAGTTTATTTGAAACTTTGGTAGCGTTGCAACTCTTCTAAGCGATTGCCTCAAGCAAAAGACTTTTGTGTGGTCTATAAAAGCTGCCAATGGTTTTCACTTCTTGAAGAAGATGCTTACTAAAGCTCTTATCTTGGCATTGCCAGATTTTAATTAAGCTTGATTGTGATGCATTGAGTGTGGGAATTGGTGGGGTTCTATGTCCAGAGGGATAACCTATTGCCTTCTTTAGTGAAAAGTTGGATGGGGCCAACCTTAAATATTCTACTTATGACTTGGAATTCTATGCTATTGTGTAATCCGTCAAGCATTTAGCTATCATTTGACCTAAAAGGAGTTTATTCTTAATCCAATCATGAAGCTCTCAAGCATATTACTTCCTCTGTCCCTTTTTTTTTCCCTTACCATTCTATTTTTGGATATCCCAAAATGCATGTCCACTTTGAAAAGTCAAAATTTCAAATATGGAAGTTTCCAAAATTGCCCCTCAAAAGTAATTATAAATGGGGTAAAATTCATTTTACCCCCTCATGGTTTGAAACCATAGCACTTTATGTCTTATGGTTCAAATATAGCCAAAAAGCCCCCATATGGTTTTGGACTAAAGTGTCACAATTAGTTTTTCCATCCAAACTAATAGGTGTATCACACACCATTTTTTACAATGGGCTTGGATTTTTTGAAAAAATAAAATGAAATTAACACAACAAAAAAACAATTTTATCCCATCTTCTCCAAACCTAAAATAAATTAACATATTAATTAAAATTAAATTAAATTAAAATATAATTAAGGATTTGTGTGGGGCTTAGTTGCATGAAGTTGTCTAGACCTTAGTTGCACGAAGCGGAGGCGGAGGCGGGAGCGAGAGTGGGGGAGCGTAAGCCGATAGAAGTTTCTTAGGTTGGGAGTGCCTCGGGGAGCGCTTATATATATATATATATATATATGTATGTATATTATGCATATATAAATAAAATTAATTCAAAAATTTTGGAGTGGCTTTATTTAAATATATTAAATTTAATGACTTATATTGCTACACAAAAATATAATAGAATCCCATTAGAAAATTCATCACTAATACAAAATATCATTAATTCTTAATCATCTAATCAAATAAAAAAACTTGACAATATATAATCTTATTTATTATATGTAAAATTAAAAAATATATAGTATTTATTTATTTATTTTTAAATTTTATTCATTTACTTTAATATCAAATTTCATTTACAAATTAATTTTTTCTTACAACTTTTTTTATTTTATTTTATGTATGTTTAAGTTGAGAAAATAAGAATATTCAAAAAAATAGAAAAAAAAAAAAGAAAAAGATGAAAGGAAAAAAAAAGGGGGGTTTTTTTGTTAATACATATATATATATATATATATATAAAATAAGGAATTAGGGACATCAAACACGAATAGAACAGAGGAGAGAAGAGAAGAGAAGAGAGAGAGAGACGATTGCTCAGAAAGAAGAGAGAAAGACCATCGTGTAGAGTCGATGAGTTCAACACAAGCGAGAGACAAAGTCGAAAGCGAGAAAGAGACGATCGTGCAGACTCATGGAGAGAGATGAACAGAAGAAGAAGAAAAATAAAGAACGAAGAAGAATAACAGATTGGGCTTCAACAAGTTCTTCTTCACCCTTTCTCTATCTCTCTCTCTCTCTTTGTCTATCTCTCTCTCTATATATATATTCAATTAGTTAGGGTTTTTATCTCTCTGTATTCGAGTTAGGGTTTCTCTCTGCGTATTCAGCGAATTAGGGTGTATCTCTCTGTTTTGCTTTTCTTTTCCACCAACGATCCCATCTTGGACAGGATCACGTTTCTCCCTCTACAGGAACGCGATTCTTACACGTTTCTTTCTAAGAAACGCGAAATCGCGCTTCTTACGAAGATTCGTCACCTGGTTGGACGAATCCTGCAATTTCGCACTACAAAAAAGGGCAAAACTTCGTGGCCTAACTACGCTTTTTGAGAAGCAAAGTCTGCACAATGTAGCAAATGGTGAGGGCCACCCAACCTGGGTTTGGTCCGAAAACCCCTCCAATGGTAAAGGCAAGGACTAGGGAAGAAGGAGAGGATGCAAAGAGAATGTACTGCTCAGATAATAGAATTCGGATCCCAAGAAAGATAAATGAGTTTACCTTATATACAAGGAGCTTGCTTCTCCTCCAAGGTCTTTGTCTCTCTCTGTCATATGTCCCTATTTGTCTTATCCATTATCGTCTCTCATTGGAGAAGGACAACAAGTCCGCCTAACACTTAGGTGCGCAGGCCTGTCATGTGTGCGTTGTGTCCCCCTGCGTCTCCATGTCCCCACGTTCTATGCAGATAGGGGTATAGGGACAGGTAATGTCCTATCTACTTGGGAAACATCTTTGTTCTTGTTTGTTCCTTTGTAGCTTGATTCGTTCAGGAAAGACCACCAAACGTAAGGCCGAATGTAGGGCTTGCCCCCTTGATGAAGATCCATCTTCAACTGCCTCATTGTTTCACCTATCTTAGAGTAGATGTTGGTCGCATGGCAGAGCTCCACAATATACCTGCTTCAGAGCATGCCTTGCACATTGGGCCGAGCTTCATAGCTCGCCCACTTCAGAGCGTGTCTTGCTTGTTGGGCGAGCTCCATAGCTCGTCACTTTGGAGTGGATCTTGCACATGGGCCAAGCTACGTAGCTCCCCACTTCGAAGCGAGTCCTGTACGTGGGTCGAGCTCCGTAACCCGCCACTTCGGAGCGAGTCTCAAACGTTGGGCCCACCCTTATTGCTTTAGCTAGTTTTAACCCACTTCAAGATTGATCTAAAATATAAAGTAAATAATAATTAAAGACTAATCTAAAATATAATTAAATTAAAATTATATTAAGATGTTAGGAATTACAATATACAAAAAATATAATTAAGGATTTTTGATTAATTGTGATTTAATTGAATATGTAAGTGGCATATAATGGGTTATAATGATGTTTGTAATATCTCCTATATAAGGAGTGTCATTTGGTCTTGTAAAATAAGAAGTTTTGAATATAACAGAAATATATTCCTT